ACGATCCTTCGCAGTAAAGCACTATTTGAGCAATAGTGAAAATCAGACCTGAAAAAAATTTCAGGCCTGTACGGGTTTATGTCGAATTAATTTGATGGCCTGCTCCCAGTTGGCTTGTTAGCTCAATTGGTAGAGCGCTGCACTAGTATCGCAGAGGTCAGTGGTTCGAATCCCGTACAGGCCTGAAATTTTTTTCAGGTCTGATTTTCACTATTGCTCAAATAGTGCTTTACTGCGAAGGATCGTTCACATATACGTCTCATAACCGCAGTTCATACATATGTTTCATATGTTTGTTGTTGTTTGATTTATCATCTACGGGTTTATGTCGAATTAATTTGATGGCCTGCTCCCAGTTGGCTTGTTAGCTCAATTGGTAGAGCGCTGCACTAGTATCGCAGAGGTCAGTGGTTCGAATCCCGTACAGGCCTGAAATTTTTTTCAGGTCTGATTTTCACTATTGCTCAAATAGTGCTTTACTGCGAAGGATCGTTCACATATACGTCTCATAACCGCAGTTCATACATATGTTTCATATGTTTGTTGTTGTTTGATTTATCATCTACGGGTTTATGTCGAATTAATTTGATGGCCTGCTCCCAGTTGGCTTGTTAGCTCAATTGGTAGAGCGCTGCACTAGTATCGCAGAGGTCAGTGGTTCGAATCCCGTACAGGCCTGAAATTTTTTTCAGGTCTGATTTTCACTATTGCTCAAATAGTGCTTTACTGCGAAGGATCGTTCACATATACGTCTCATAACCGCAGTTCATACATATGTTTCATATGTTTGTTGTTGTTTGATTTATCATCTACGGGTTTATGTCGAATTAATTTGATGGCCTGCTCCCAGTTGGCTTGTTAGCTCAATTGGTAGAGCGCTGCACTAGTATCGCAGAGGTCAGTGGTTCGAATCCCGTGCAGGCCTGAAATTTTTTTCAGGTCTGATTTTCACTATTGCTCAAATAGTGCTTTACTGCGAAGGATCGTTCACATATACGTCTCATAACCGCAGTTCATACATATGTTTCATATGTTTGTTGTTGTTTGATACATCACAGTTAGTTGATCACAAGCCCTCAGGGTACTGAGTGGGGGTATTTCGTTGGAATTGTCGTCAGTCTGTTCTGTTGTTCGCTCTGAGACTGCCACAAATCTGCGGTTTTCAAAGAAAGCCCCTCTAATTAATAGTCTGGTGATCCTCGCGATTGCGTTACAGTTTTGAATTTCTTAACGTAACGCCGCCAAAAGAAAGATTCACGCGATTGCGGCGATTGCGACGAGTTCCGTCACAAAATTCATCGTCTATCGACTATCGTTCCCCGTCCATCCTCTTGGTTTTAGTGCATGCCAATTACAGATTTCTTTTTCGCAAACTAGAGATTTCAATTTGAAAAAATAACTGTTGCTTCGCACTTATAATAAATAGTTACGTTTAATCTGAGCGACCAAAACCGGCTGAAAAACCATAATTTAATTTCCACTAAAAGTTTATCTCCCTGTGTTAATTTTGGATCATAACTCATTTTTTCAGAGGGGAATTATGCATGGTACCTGTGAGTATGGTACCTTTTTAACTCGTATAACGAGGTAGTCATTAATTTGAGATATAGGTTTGGATGGAACATTCACTCATTCCTTCCCTCCTTCGCTGACCACTGAGTGTATGAAGCGTTGGAAATCGCATATGCCCAAGTAGAAAAAGGTTTACCCACGAAGTGAGTTTTTTCAGAAGCAATGTTTCTTATGGATCGTTTCTACACGGTCGACAGCGTATGATTTTTAGCTTGAATTTCGTACTGTTAAACCGATCTAATGCTGTTCAACCAAGTATCGCCTTAGCTTGTCAGTGATTGACCTGAACGTAACACCAGGACACACAAGACGCATTTAAGATACAATTGTAAGGGAAACACTAAAGTTGTTCCTCCTCGATTTAATAGTAAGGGAAAATCTTCATTGTTATTAATCTGTGTCACATTTTTATCATTGAATAAGATGTCTAATTAGAACTTTAATAAACCTTTTATGATAAACATTATTCGAGCTCTGCATGTGGCTCGGCAGTCACTTTGATCTTTGGTTTCAATTCGCCAGGCGTAAAATTTTTGGTTTTTTTACTTGAAAAAAAAAAAAATGTTATTTCAAAAGAACACCAAATTTACGCAATTGCATTCAAGTTAAACTCACTTAATTTACTTTGGTGACTCCAGTATGCCTTGCCACCCCTGGCAATATCAAAGAACTGCATTTTGAGGAAGAACTATCGTCTTTCCCTCTAAAATTTTGCGCTTCATCGGCACTTGTGCAAACTTTCTCCATTCGGAAAAAAAATAACCGGTAAAGTCTAAATGAAGAAAGCTCTTCCAAAGTTCTCTGGTTTTTCGTGCTTCGAATTTTTTTTTTTGTTTTTTTTGATTAGCCAATGAAATCCCAGGATTTTCGAATTACTCTCATCCAATCAGACAAAAGATAATAGGCAAATATTTTTACTTGTGTGAGATAAACAAAAACTCTGATTCTCTTGCATTTTGGGGCTGCGTGGGGATCATTTTAGGGTCGAGGATCAGTTTGGGGCCAGGATCACTTTGGGTCGATTTAAGGATCATTTCTGGGTTAGGGATCATTTTGGGTCGGGATCATTTCGGGGTCGCTGGAGATCTTTACAGGGCTGGGGATCCTTTCATCGGCGGGATCATATGGGGGTCGAGATAAGATGGTATGAATCCGTTAGTGGCTTTTGCTTTGCAAGAAGCAAATAAGCTTAAGTAAATATAAGCCCCTCAATGAGGAGTTCATTTTGTGGTTAAAAAACAAACCAACAGTGATTTAGAGTGATCTGTACTCTTATTGACCAAGATATTCATCATCACAGTGGTCAAAATTTGTTGCGGACTTGCTTGGCTACTCTTCGTTTGCTCTGCTACGTTTGCTACCATTTTGTAAAGACCTCACCAACCTGGCCATACATGCGCAACCACATGATTCATGGTTTTGCTCAAAATTCAACTGAGCGGTTCAGAATTAAAAAAATATTATAATGCGCTTTCAGAAATTAAGAATACGGTGAAGAAAGTTTCTTGACTTAACAAATTTGCGAGAAACTCCACACCATAAGAAAACTATTGCTATTGTTTTGTGTGGTATCATCTTTACGACTGAGGGTAATTTTGCGAATATCCTGGCAAGATTGCCCTGATCCAAATAAATTAAGTCCTATTTTTCTCCCTCATCTTATATTTATTTGGTAACTGCTGCCAAAAGTCTTCACTTCATACATGATTTTCATTTTAAATCTCGACTGAATTGGTAATTTATTAGAGATTTTTTCTATGATTTGGTCATCATGCTTATTTCGTTTTGCATGTACAAACAATTCTCCCAGTACATGGATCTAAAGTTTGTACGTTATGCCATTTTACCCAATAAAAGCAACGGAATGCGTGAAATGCGGGGTGGAATCAGCAAGTAAGTTACTTTTGGCCGCTGGCATCTATCAAATATATTAGAGACTCAATTTCACCCATGAGGAACAAACAAACTGTAATGTGAGAAAAATTGCTCCTTGCAATGTTAGCCTAGCTGGTATGTTAACTGTATCACCATTTCCCTTCTTTTTGTAGTTAATCTTGGCAAAGCGTGTTGTGAGCTATCAGCTATCAGCTATCAGCTATCAGCTATCAGCTATCAGCTACCAGCTATCAGCTACCAGCTATCAGCTATCAGCTATCAGCTATCAGCTATCAGCTATCAGCTATCAGCTACCAGCTATCAGCTATCAGCTATCAGTCAAAAGAGTAAAATATTCCTGATTTGAGGAAACATAATTGAGAATGCCTGGGTACCTTTTGGCAGATCATGACAAGAAAGTCATTGACTGTAAGTTCCTCTGTAACTGTTGTCGGTGCCTGCTGAGGGAGGCCATGCAGACAGCATGTGGACATTTGTATTGCCAATCATGTTTAGGAATTCTTGTTACGTAAGTGTTAATTTACTGGGAACATCAGTCAGTTTATGTGGTGAAATAGTTACAAGTAGTCGATGCTATGTACAATTCCTACTGGTTAAATGTTGTCAAGTCTGTTGGGGTACACTCTATTTTTTTTAAAGGAATTTTTCACTCCAACAATTTAGGATAGAACTCTATATTTATTGTGAGTTTCAGTAGTTGAGTTGTGGAAAAAGACGCATAAAATTAAAACTGTCGCGAAAACAACGGCCGCGAGGGAGACTACAGTAAGCGTGGCACCATGCAATTCATTTCTGCTTTTAAATTTTTAGACAACAGTGACAACAGACCACACAATACCTGTGTCTGAGTTTTTTTCGTATAAATCAAAACGTCTTTTTACTCTCTATCGAACGGTTTTTTTTGTCGAAAACTTTGAAAGTTGATGCTTTTTTTCTTCTACAAAAATTGAAAAAAACAAAATCAGTTACCAAAGTGTCCCAACCCACCCATCCGAAAAAAATAACTCTTACATGCGTAGCATGCCTATTTTTCCTTTTGTCTACATTTCGTTTTTACTTAGAGAGTGGTTTTAATACATATGAGCTACGAGAGATTTACGGATCTTTTGCCTGCTTTTTTCCTTGCTTATTACTTAAACAAAATCACTTCCTCAATCTCGTCACTAACAAGGTTATAAAAAAAATCTCTTATCACTTCATGGTTATAGTTCTGTATATTAAACCTGACAAATGGTATATTGGATGTCGAAATATCTGAAAGTAAATTGTCCCATGAATTAGCCAATTCTACCGAGTCAAAGAACAGAAACTAGCTAGTTCACCAAAATATCCTGGTTGACCCCATTGGGATAGTTTCTTGTGAAACTCACACGTATATGACCTTAGAGCTTTCTGATAAGGCGTACCACTTCCTAAGAACATGCAAGACCCAGAAATACAGAGTGTGCATAAGGTACGAAAAAAAAAAACAACATAAAACTCTTCACTCACAACTGTCGAGTTATTTAGGTTTCAAGTAGTCTTCAGTAAACAACACGTGTTTACTCTAACCAACACGCATATCGCATGTAGCTATCTTGAACAAGAATTCATGTAAACTAACACAAAATCTTCTCTTATTTTTATGAGTATGAAATCTAGAGAAACGAACAGAGCATGAAAAGACTGACAAATGATCTATGGAATCCTGTTATACAGGGTCATATCAAGCTAAACCTAGATCTTCTCTGACTTTCAGCGATGATTTTTTATAATTCTCTGGACTAGAAGCAAAAATTGGGGTACTAGAATGTCTCCCGCCTATTATTAGGGAACTTAAGATACGACGACGAAATGAGACGACGACGACGACCGGAAGTTGGATTTGCACAGATGCGCGTGCTGCGTATGTCTCTGTTTGTGATTTCGTCGTCCACGGTTCGTCGACGACGAAATTTGTGGGAGAAAGCGGTTCTGGGGAAAACGTAACTAAAACTTGCGTCCTTGAAGCTCTTTTTAGGGGATTTGAACTGATTTTTCGAAGCTGTGTGCCTGGAAGAGTCTTATATGTCGAATAGATCGTTTCTTTGTCGAATAGATCGTTTCGGATTGAAGTTTTGCTCATTCTACAGGCGCATTTGGCGAGCAGTGTTTACATGGCTACCTCGTGCCTGGCAGAAGAATCCGAGAAAACGTAAGCTGCTGAGACAGCCGTGTATTTCGAGAAACATTCCTGAGAAACTTTTGCACCAAATTGGCGCCTATTTCTTTGATTGTTTCGATATGTTTTTTATTGCATTCAGATCGACAAGCAAGTACTTTCAGTGGACGACAGACCACGATGTTATCATGTGCAGGGAAGTGCTCGTGAACATCATAACGAAAATCAAGGTCTTTCGAAGAATGAAAGTCGTAAAGAAGAACAAATTCTTCGTCATCAATGAAACCATCGTCGTACCTTATTATAAGAGAATTGCGCAAGTCTTTGAACGCCATAGCCAAACAAAATTTACAATGACTTAAGATGCCGTCGTCTTCTCGCAAGATCGTCCGCTTAATCTTCAAATTTTCCCTCCGAAAACCAAACCCTCGGTCCAGTCTTTCTCGGATGTAAAGCGTCGTCGTTTCTTAAGTTTCCTAATTGTAACGAGAATGTTCATCCGAACAGGTGTTGCAGGTTTTTCTCCCCCGGGAACTTGGTAACTATTGTTGTCGGTCGCTCATGTTGTCCTTGCTGATTTGGCTGTGTAGTACGGTGAACAAGGTTCCTTCTAATAGTGCTGATTGGTGTTTTAACTTTATATGACTGAGTTGTTGATACTGCTTCAATGACTTTTCCTTACCGCTGGTCCTTGCAAAAACTTCAGTACCTAGTCTGATTGAAGGCAAGGGCTTGGCCGTGTGCCTGGTGTTGAGCATTGCTTCCTGCCTCAACTTGCTCATGCTCTCTCGTGCACGCAGTTTGTCTAAGTCAGGCCACTGTGGGTTCAGCTGGGTATGGAATAACGGAACACTGTTCCCAATCTGCCTTCCTATCAATATCTGGGTAGGAAAGGACATGTAATGTAATGTTTCAGCAGGGTTTTTTTCCTTTGTTAGAAGATTCTGCAAAGTTCCAACTCCCCGCCTAACTTTTACGTTCACTGGTGAAACTCAGCACTGCTTGCGGTATGCTTGAATCCCCACTCCTCTTCAAAGAGAGATAATTCTGCACTGTCAAACTGAGGACCATTGTCAGATCGCTCTTGCTGCAGGATCCCGCAAGCAAATATCAACTTAATTGCTGGAATGACCTTATTTGACTTTGTAGCCTTCTGCTTTGGTGCGCTTCCACCTATCTTGAGAAGAAGTCTGTAACAACAAGTTAATCGACACCTTTCAGACTTGCTAGGGGTTGTGTGGTAAAGGTGTCGTGATAAGCAGTTCAGGCTTATTGTCCCTTTGTAGAGCGCAAACTCTGCAATGTTGCACCAGATCCTGACTTTTTCTGCTGAACTCTGGCCACAAAATAAAGCTTTCGGCCCGTTTAGTGATTCCATGGTGTCCTTCATGGATCTTATTCAGTATCTCAAGACGCATGGAAGAAGGGACTATAATCCTAGATGCTTTGAGCAATTCACCCATACTTAACCAATAGGGTTTTTGCATCCTTTAATGAATACTTGTCGGGCCATCCCTCACAGCAGTACACTTCGACCTCCCCTCAGACAGGATCCTCCTCGTGTGCTGCTGTAATCGCGTGTTTGAGGAAGGCAGTGATGAGATCACGCTTTCAATACGTGCTTGCATTTCGTCACTGTCAATTATTGACAAACGGTTTGGCTTCGGTTTTGGAGTCTTGAAGGCGCATCGGGTATGTTTGTCTTCTTTCTAGGAAGATACCTGATCTTCTAGAAATGAAATCTCATCAATTGCATTTTCAATCTTTGGATTCTCGGTGGAAGTTGATCCAGTGTGTGAAAACTTAGGAGTGGCACCAGGGGTTTATGATCTGTTTCAAGAGATGGTCTGTTTGCAGAGATTTTCCTGCGGTGCACTCTCAGGATCGTTCGCATGCCCAGGTGAGTGATAGAGCTTCCTTTTAGCTTTGTGCGTATCTGGCTTCAGTGAGAGTCATCGCTCGCGATATGAGTAAAATTGGTTACCAGGAGTTGTCAGGTTGGAGTTGAAGAATTACCCCACTTAGGCCAAAGGAAGAAGTGTAAGCTGCCACTTTGGTTTCCTCATTTGGATCGTACAGAACCAGTACTGGAGCTTGTTTGAGGTCAGATTTGATCTGCTCGAATGCTTTCTGTTGCCCATCTCCCCGTGTCCATTGGTTCCCTTTGTGAAGAGAGTAACTAATGCTATTTTGTCTTGTCAGCGAGGTGCTTAGAAAACTTGCTCAGTTGGTTCACCATGCCAAGAAATGTTCTCACTTCCTGCACGTTCTGAGGTGGCGGTAGGTCTGCAATTGCCTGCAGCTTTTCAGGATATGCCTCAATTGCACTGAAGCTTATAACGTATCCAAAGATTGTAACTCTGTCTTTGCTATACCGGCATTTGTCTAGGTTGAGTGTCGCGCCAGCTTTAACCAGACGCTTGAATACTGCCTCTAATCTTTTGTTTCTGATACAAGAAGAAGGGTTCTTTTCTTGGGACTGACACCTGGAAAGGTTTGACATCTGTCCTTCATGACACCTGGTCCCTCGAAAAACTTCGGGTACTTCAGTGTCTGCTACTTTATTCTTGTAGTCATCGCTCCTCAGGTTGTCAAGTCTACTTATCAGCTTTAGAAGCTCAAAGGGCTCTCGTCCTACCAAAACTCGCTCCAAATCTTCTGATACGCCTGTTCCTTAACAATCTTGCCATGCACTTGCATCTCTGCTCTGAAAGTTCCTAGAAAGCTCAGTTTCCGTTTACATGGAACCATAAGTGAGCTGGTGGTCCTGCGTAGTGATGGAGCTGGTTACAGACTGTGATACAGGATAGGTGGAATTACCTTTACATCTGCACCGGAGTCTAGTTTAAATTCTGCTAGAAGTCCAGTCAATGAAACTGTAGCTTTCCATCAATATCCTGTTCTTCCTTGGACAGCATATAGCTCAGTGATTTCACCCAGGCACAGGCAGCCCAAGCTCACTACTAGAAAAGTGGACGTAACTAAAAGTGTTGCGCAAGGTTTTATATTTATAAAGGTTTGTATGGGATGTTATCGGTTTGCCTTAAAAGAGAGAAAAAAATGTCTTGTTTTGAAATAAAATGGGCTTACCTTATTGCTTTGTTGTTTTCTTTGTTGATTCCGAGCCTCAGGCCATTTTGAAGCGTTTCGGCGAGTTAGCGCTATGTTGGTGTTCAACTGCCGGAGAAACCTATTAACATCACACATTTCCATTCGATCTTGATTGGTCGATCAAAACAATGCGGTCTTGGCAAAACCTCTCGAGGGGACCAGGGGAGCTAACTGGTTTGTTTGTCGACTGCAGGTCGCTGGCTACCCTCGCCGGGCTTATTTTTGTTACCCAACATACTGTGCGATCGGCCAATGGGCCCGCAAATGTTTCAAGCAGCCAAATTCGAAATTGGAAAGCAGATCGATCCTGAGATAAAAGCATCGCTGGTGAAAGATCTGTGGGAGGAATTGGGAATCGAGTGAATGGAAATGAAACTGCAACATCTCTGCTTTGATTTTCTGGAGGAATCGAGACTGGTGGTAATTTTTTGGCGGAATTATTCGCTTCGGGCGACGGACACTTCTAAAATGGGTTTCCGGCCTTGCCTTTCTTTTAGCAGTTGAACACCAACATAGCGCTAACTCGCCGAAAACGCTTCAAAATGGCCTGAGACGCTAGGAATCAACAAAGAAAACAACAAGGCAATAAGGTATGCCCATTTTATTTCAAAACAAGACATTTTTTCCCTCTCTTTTAAGGCAAACCGATAACATCCCATACAAACCTTTATAAACATAAAACGTTGCGCAACACGGTAAGAGTCACGTCCGCTTTTCTAGTAATGAGCTTGGGCTGCCTGTGACCCGGGAAGAACTCTTCTACATCCTGTCTCCCAGGAAAATTCACTCCGCCTACTATCTTGTCTGATTGAGATCTGCGGGCCTCTGCTCAATGTCCTACATTGGAGCACTCGTTACATTTTGATTCTCTGGCTGAACATAGTTTCTTCGGGTGTGGTTGACCCATGCACCTTGAACATTGTACTTCTGGGCTGGGTTGTTAAAAGATGGATTAAGATAACCCAGGGTTAGTGTAAAATTTGATTTTAGATCTGAAAGCTTCATAAGAAAATTCAGTGTAATTCCATTTATCTAAAATTTGATGATCGATTGTTCTAAAAAGAATTGGGAAAATTATTCCAAAACTGCTTTTGAACAGAGAAATATAGAAACCGGGATTAAAATTTAAACCTGGATTAGCACTAATCGGCCTTTGAACAACTGGGCCCAGGAGTCTTCCCATTTTTAGGCTTAGATGACTTCTTTTCCTTCTTCGTATCTTCTTTTGAATTCTTTCCCTTTATTCTGAACAAACGGTCAACCCTAGCTGATGATGGCGCAAATTTGGTTTCCGTTAGGAAAGTTTGTTGTTTTTGAACTGTCTCTGGCTGCATTTTTGTAATTGCTTTCTCTTTAGTCAGCTTAGAATTCAGTTTCATTTGTTCTGAGAGCTCCTTGTCTTTTATCCTCACCACGATTCTATCTCGGATGAGATCGTCTCTAGAGTTCCAAATTCACAGTACTCACCAAGACATTACAAATCTGTTATGAAATTATCCCCTGACCCACCCTCTTCTTGACTTCCCAGGTTGAACTTGGCTCGTTTAAGTATTACGTTTGTCCTCTCACCACAATATACTGCTACGCTTCTTTAGCGTTTAGTCCGAATGACACGACTATGTCGTCAGCTTCTTCAGCCATCGAATAAATTAACGTATCCATTTGGTTCTCGCTGTCTTTTTGCTCGAGTCTAATCACTTTTCGAAATCGTTCGAAACGCTTGATCCAGCGGACCATTCTCCGGGTTTAAAGTTGAACTTCTCAGGTAGTGGAACTTGGTAGGGTAACTGGGTATTTTTTAAACCATGGGCTGCTGTACAGCAGCGGCGACTTGTGGTTGTGCAAGGTAAGCGTCAACTTCGCTGCGTTCTTCAGCTACTTTAGGTTGTTCAGCTTGAATTCTGGCTTTGTGTGGACCTTGGTCTCCCTACATTTCCTTTTTCTCCTAGCCTTCTTTAGTTTAAAGGCTCTTGGGAACGTACCGCTGCCACCATGTCGTGCTATTTGGGTTTAGAGTAGTGGTCTTCAGCGAACAACACGTGTTTACTTCAAGACATCATCTTTCATAATCAACATGCACCTCGCATGTAACTATCCTGAACAACACCTCGTGTAAACTAATACAACAACAACCAACCCAGGTGCCCCTTAAAAGAGTATTAGAGGCTTTAAATGCTGTTAAAATGCTAAGAGCCTAACGCCCTAGCCCCATAACTGAAAGATGTTGATTATTGTTAAAAGTCTACATTGCTTTCATTTTAGTGAAGTTAATCAACACTTTTGACTCTAATTATAAAAAGATTTTTGCGCGTCTTTCTTTTAACTGTTTTCAGGAGTGAGGATGAAATCTCTAGCTTTGTTTTATGAAATAATGTTTAAATGAACTACGATGAGTTTAGATAAATGTGATAGTAAGTGGCAGTACGTGTATACTATAATGGGTAAAGCACAACTTTGTTACTAACCTGGGGTTTTCGGGGTTTTGAGTTCTGAAGACGACTGATATACCTTTGGTTTCTGTTTTTTACTCTCTAAAATTGTATGCCCTAAAACGTATGTCCTCTATGCAGTTACTTTAATCTACCTTTGTCCCAAAAACTCTTGATTACTTTTTTTTTCTGTCAATGTTATTTAGTTTGGAATCTTCTTTGTGTGGTGCATAGGGAAGAATATGTGGCCTCTCACACAGCTGATGGAATGGCAATAATGTTCCTATTCCCCTCCCTCTCCCCACCAAAATAATGATTTCCCTATGTAATATACCTTTTTAGTATAATTTCAGAGCTGAGCAAAGAGTTTCCAGCAATCTGATTGGTTAAGCGGTTCCTTATATGACGCTATATAAACCACTCCCCGCGGTTCATATAAAATGTTAAAATAAAATGTTAATAAATGTTACTAAAATGTTATGATTTTAGAAATTTCTCTGTTGTTCAGCTCTGAAATTATACTAAAACAATTATCCGCCTCAGGTTCGGTGAATGTTTTCGAATAATCCTCTCGACTTCATCTCGGGGATTTTTCGACAATATTCACCTCGCCTCCGGCGAATAATTGTTAAATACAGGTTTGTGTTATACCTTTATGAAGCATTTCTCTTTTCCCACAATGCTTGTTGGGAGAAAGGAAACATGGCTTAAAGATGGTAAAGGCATTGTCTCCACACTCCTATGGATAAATTTGCATTCCCAGCTGGCTTTACTTTTTCCATGATTTATTTTCTATTGGACTATGTTTCTGTTGAAATGATATCACAAATAATCCTGTTAATAGGGATGAGACATCTAATGAAATGAAGTGTTTGGTGGACGAGAAGAATTTTTTTCCAAATGAGGTATGTCAGTTACTACAGGAAAAAAAAAATTATGCCAAATAGGCACTCTCTAAAAACTGAAATATGTTGAAAAGGGTGGCACACGATACCTCCCAATCAAGAACAGTCTTTTCATATATCCCAGGTTGGCTACCCTTCGTTTTGGATTGTTGCACAATCAGTTTCAGACACAAATATAGTACAGTGAGCTGTTCGTTAACTTTTTGTCCATTTGGCGGAAAAGATATGTTTGTGTTTTTGTCTTTGGACATTATTTGTTCCTTGAGGCTAACAACTGTTGGCTTCCCGAAACAAATCATTTCCGTGGACAAATATCCAAACACATTTTTAAACCAAATAGGAAAAAGAGTAGAGTTTTCGTGCTCAAGGTTAGTAGTCCATCCAGCTGGTGAAGCTGCACCCTTCTCCCCCTTCAAGTTCCTAGATGGGATGCGAGTCCATCCTGGTTGCCCCAGGCATTTCACCAGCTTTGACCGACAAATATATGAGTGAAGAGAGGCACTGTGCTCAAGAACACAACACAATGACCTAACTATCTCGAAAAGCTAACTATGCCCAGAGTCTAGAGTGTTTTAAGACCGTTAAACCTCAGCCTCTCCACACACGCCAAATATAGGCTATTGTTTAGGTATAGAGGTAGAAGCATACAACCTCGAGGATTTGCTTCTGATTGAGGTAACTGATTTGTACAAAGATGAGTACCTCTTTTCTCATTATAATTTGGATATATCAAGAAAGTTGAAATGGTAAATTGACCACCGTAACGATTACAAAAGCTGACGTTTCGAGCGTTAGCTCTTTGTCGGAGCGAATAGATGAATTGTGGGTTGTGTGTGCTTTAAAAGGCAGAAAATGGAGCTACGTTATTGGTGGGAACATGGGCAACGAGAAAAACAAGAATAAATTAGTGGAATGTAGAATTACCATTTCAATTACCATTTCAACTTTGTTGATATATCAAAATTATTTCGTTACTCCCACCGACGCAGCCCCAAACAGTTTCTTTCAAAACTATCAGCCTCTTTTTTCATTATGTGATTTACTCACTATTTATCACAATTTAAAAAGACAATATATGAAAATGGGGGACATGAAATGTTAGAGTGATTACTTTGATATTTATTCCCTTGTAATGTTTTTTAGACTTTCGCAGACAATTTTATGCGTCGTGAAGTCAGTGCTCTTGTGATTCACTGCCTATCCATAGAAGAAGGGTGTCTTTGGAGGGGAAAAGTGAAGCATTTAGAGGTATGTCTCATATGGCAGATTGACAACCAATTAAGAATTTGTTAATAGTTGAGCATGGGTTTATCGAGATATGACGCGGGCAGGAAATTTGGAAACACGAAGGATGCGTAAGAATGTGTAAGCTACTTGAATAAAGGCTCTTAAAAGGACTAAGCAGATTTTAACGTTTATTGATGACTCTATTTTTTGGGGATTAACTACATGACATATTTTTTTTTAACAGTGTAACATCACGGAGTTTAAACTCTCTGGTGTTGCATTATTCAAACTACCTGAGGGATCTTCCATTTTAATTTTCTTTTTATTGTTTTCCTCAGTGTATAACCCTTCACACTCTTACACAAGTACGCAAATTGTTCTCTACATACATATCTGAGGGACCTTATTTGGAGAATTTGTTTCCGTAGCTGGCAATCATTTCTTTTTCCTTGGGCTTCCCCAACCAACTGTCGGCCGATCGTCGGTAAGGCGTCGGCGATAGGCTACCGACAAGCTACCATCAGGCTATGGTGACAGACCAATTTGACGGTAAAAAGCCGACTGTCAGCCGACGAATGACCAACAGATTAATTTTTTTTATGACAAATTAGCCAGTATGTCCACAATGACGATGTCTCTTTGAGAAAGGTCGAGCTCTTTGACTTCTTGGTCGCTTCTTCTCTTATCACGAGCGCGAGGTGGAGTAATATGCGACTTTCTAGCTCAGTTCACTTTACACGATTACGTCCATGACGATCATAGAGTGGGTCGGATGTTGAAATGGTTGATTACAAAACATGCTTTTACAAATTATTTTCGTTTGAGCTATTCTAATTTCTTACCATACAACAATTTTGTCATAATTGTCTTCAACAGGACCATAAGCAGAAGGAATGCAAGTTTTTGTCAGTCCCCTGTGTGTATGATGCTTGTGGCGTGATGGTAAAAAGAGCTGATCTTGCTGATCACTTGAAAAAAGAATGCAGATTCAGACAAGAGAAATGCTTAGTTTGTGATGAAGATGTCGATCACTGCAGAATGAAGGTACGACTTAGACAAACCACATACTTTGAAGTGAACAACAATGAGCTGCTCATAAACTTTGGCATACTTGCTTAGAGAAAGATAGATGAATGTACAAAATTGATGATCTTTAAGATATGAGGTTTCACCCATAATGCAAGTGCCTTCCTCTCTAGCTAGAAATTATATCGCGATTAAAATAGTGAGAACTTCCTTTAAGGCTGGATGAACACTATTTTGTGATCATTATGCTTATTGTGTAATTCTTTTGAATTAAACTTTTTTACTTTTGAAAGTTAAGATTAATTAATGCGACAGTGAGCCTTCCTTAGACTCGAACTGCATTCCCACATAGCCTAGTAGCCCGTGTAACGTGTAGTAGGTAAGTTTAACATCTTATTCTCTTATTTCTTGCTTTTGTAATCAGGAACACCTTCGCTTGAATCACAATTATCTTCACTGCCAGATGGACAACCTGGGAGACGTGGTAGATGACCTGCATCACTCAATGTACCATCTCCGAGATAAGTATCACCACCTCCAAGATGAGCATCGCCATCTCCAGGATAAGTATCGCCATCTCCAGAATGAGCAACGTAGATTACACGGAGAAGTTCAACAACTGAAGGAGTGCCCTCGCATGTTTGAGCAAGGTAATCAACAGCAAATGCAAAATGAGGAATACGTAAGACAGCAAGAGTTCTCAAGCTACGATGGCCAGTATTTATGGAAGATTTCCGATTTTTCTCGCAAACGGAATGACGCAGTTAATAGAGAGGACGTCTCCGTCGTCAGTCCAAGTTTCTCAACCAGTCGCTTTGGTTACAAGATGTGCGCGCAGATCTATCTGAACGGCGATGGCATGGGTAGAGGAACGCACATCTCTGTCTACTTTATGGTGATGCGTGGTCAGTATGACGCCCTTCTCCCCTGGCCATTCAGACAGAAGGTCACCTTCATGTTGTTGGATCAGGATCACGTGGAACATGTGACTGATGCCTTCAGACCTGATCCGAACAGCGCATCCTTCCAGAGGCCAAGGAGCGAAACAAACATCGCCAGTGGATGTCCGATGTTCTGCGCGCTATCTGAGCTGAATAATCATGCATATGTCAGGGATGATACCATGTTCGTAAAGATTATTGTAGATACTGATGGTCTGTAAACAATGTTATACCCGTGGGAAATATTTCTAGGGAAGGTTCCCAGGGGTTTCCTGGAAACAAATTAAGGATCAAAGATGGACTCGGACGCTAGGGACCGTATGAAACGTGGCGTTTATTTAAATAGTAGAAAGCAACATTTTTAGGTCATGATAATTAGTATTGATCACTGAAGTTGTTAGGTCTTTCTCGCAGTTACGTTTTGTGTTTACAACTATGACGATCGTTTACTCCTTCCTACCAGAGGGAGTCCTTTACAAATGAGCTGGAACTTGTTCGGTATAACTTAGTTGTTGCTTACTTTGTGCATTTATTTTTTTTTTTATTAATTTGCTGTTCAGGTTTTCAGGTGATCCCTGATGTACGTTGTCGATCTTTGATTTCCGGTCCTGTTTTGGTAGGAAACACTTATAATTAGTCTTCCCTTTTTCACGTGATATAAACTATGTAGAGTGTAGGTTTAAGCTTGACCTTATTCTAAGTATGCTGTCTTTCATTGTTATTATTTTGCATTGGTTTTTTTTACAGTTTTACATTTTGTTGCGATTCGAGAGCGATTGTTTTGAGATTTCTATGAAATATCCTGCTTCGGAGATTCTCTCGCACGCCGCCTCACATCTTTAACGCCAGAAGCATTTATGTGCTTTTACTTATAGTGGCCACTTTCTCTTATTATTTTCACAAGCGGCCAGCTGAGTGTAATTTCTGTGTCCTGTAGATGCCTGGTTATGACAGTTTGAGTTGTTCAAGAATATGGCAATTCAAATTGTGGACATTCTAGTTTAATTATCGCCTACGCATTTGTTATAGGATATTATTTCGTAAATTTCTCTCTTCGGGTTTTTTGTTCAGTGACTGGGACTAAACGATGTGTTCCACATTTATAGGAATAGTAATTGTTAGGGGAGAAGAACCTACCTCTCGATCTTCTTAGTTGTCATGGGCGGTCATTATGTTGCATTACTCTACAAGCCATCTAGGAAGGAGCGCCCTTAATATTCCATTGGTTTTATTACCTTTATTCGCATAGACATGCCTGTGACGGCACCCTCTTAAGTTCATGTTGAAGTCGATCATGTCAACCCTAAACCTTTGTAAAACTCCAATGAGAAAATTAAATCAGACAATATGGCCGCAGAAAAAGGTGAACGAGAAGACACTAGGGGCTATCAGGATACTGTTCAAAGGCTTCATTGAACGAAGCAGTTTATGTTTATGGTATCAAAAGTCTTTCACCCGGTTCTATGGTGTTGCCCCCATGGGGCACAGTTTTTCTAGTTCTGGTGACTGTTCAAGCATAGCGAGTAATAGCCAATTCTTCAAGAGGACAAAAAGAAACTGATCCGATCTCCGTCTCAGTCGATCCTAATCTTCAGTAAGCAACGACTAAATCTCTAACTTTGTCAGCGAGCAATGGTTTTTCCATGGGGGATAAATAAATAAAAATAAATTAATGATGTTGAGGCTGGGCAACAAGCTTACAAACCTTTTTGCGAATACGACTTGCGTACGTAGGGTCGCTCATTTGGATGAAAATCCTTTCTGTAGAAACAAAAATTCAAGGTTTGAAAAGGTTTAAAAAAAAAGGCAAAGCTTCAAGGGAGAAAGACTGCGGTGTCTTAATGTAGTAGAGTTTTAAAGTTGTAGTGATGAAAATACTTAAACAAATTTTCGAAAAAAAGACTGATTGTGATCATATTAATATTTTACTTTACCCGTTCGTGCCCAATATGTGCAGGCGGATTTAGAGGACGGAATGTTTTAATTAGTGTGTTGTTGCAATTGTTGTAAAATTTTTGTCAAATTTCTGACTTAATATTGAAGGAACGATCATTTTGGAAAAAATAAAATCTTCTAAAATAATTTACGCGCGAGGTTTAAATAGTCGTGGTCGTAAAGGCAACGCTGACCAAAGCTACACGGTCTTAAGATATTCGAGCTTTTTATAGGTAAAGTAGGTGAAAAGACAAAGAAAAAATATCTCAAAAAAAATTTTTACAATCACATACTTATTGTAGAATGCCCTTGCATGCGCATTATAGGGTGAATATTTAGCAGTTGGCGGATTTATTTTATTTATTTTTTAGAACTTCAGTTTCCTTGAGCAGATGTGGAAGTATTGTTGCCATTAGAGAGAGCTTGTAATTTTATATCATACATTTTGATACTCTGAATTTGTCTGAATTTGATAGTTAACGTCCTTGTGCGTTAAGATAGCAGTTATAATTTTCAAACGAGCTGTAGAGAATTATACTATTTTGCTTAAAAGTTAACAGTACACGGTGAAAAATATCAGCCATGTAGAGAAAATAAATAAAAGTTTATTTTGTTATACACTTTAGCTGACCTTTCTTTCTGTCATAGAGCCACTTGAAATAGATTATGAATTTTTCTAGGACAGTTCAGGCTAGATCGGTAAATAATTTGATTTGAAGACTGTCTCATTTTTTGTTATTTTACTTGTTTTTTATTCGACGAATTGACAATTCCTTTCCTATTAGACGCAGCGCCTCATTTCTGACAACCTTTGTGAGAAAAACTAGTCTATAAAATGTGTTTCTGCTTTAGGTATCGCCTTCATCCTTAAGTTCATTTATGGCGCATTCTTTATAAAAATTAATGGACTTTTTTTTAACTAGATTAATCGTCAAGGTTGGTATAGAATGTACATATTTCGCACGGTTATGATCCGCGACTAATGACTTCCCCTATACTCAAAAACTTGTAATCGATCGTGCAAACATCAAACTAGAGATGCAGTGAAGCGTGCGTGGCCTAAGAATGGTTTTTGGTATATAGAATTATCTTCTGACAGCCTGTGACAACTCCTCTCTACTCAGAAATACAAACCGTTAATCCTTCAAAAATGTCGGGGTTGGAAGGCTACTCGCGGTTCTTAACAAAGGCAAATGTCGTCCAGGAATTCAGTTGGAGATAAAAAGTTTCAAATACTAGTGTCACAGTTAAAAACCCCTTTTGACTGATAGGTTTGATTCTTCTGCCAGTCTGTTGCCTGCAGATTTGAAGTACAGTACAGTTTTTTGGCTCTTAACTCCAATGCAAAGACTTCTAAAGTTAGCCGTTGATTGTGTTCTTCGACCAAACGGTAGCATGCAGCTTAAGGACACAGTAGATCTTCGCGGATGTCATTCGCCACAAAAAAAAATCCTAACGCGCTATTTAAAGCATAAGCACCATAAACTATAAGTCAATGGAAAGAATTTGAAATGCGCTTTTCGGAAAAATGTATTTAAATTTTTTTTTTATCTGTTGATCTAATCGTAAACCGAATAAGGCGCGACAATTCGAAAACGACGATGTTTCTTTGGGCGACTTAATCGCATCGTGCGCTTGTCTTTTTTTTTTTTTAATTCTTATCCTTGTAAGTCTTTCTATTTTCATCGGTATTTCACTCTTAAAAATAAATTTTCTACAGTTATTTTTTGCAAATACACTTTTTAAACTAATTTTGAGACAAAACTCGCATGATAAGTGAAACTTGTAAAAGGTGACAGGCAAATGCGTAACCATAACAAACAAACACCAAGTTCTTTTTGGGCATGACATCATAGTCATACTCGATGCATTGTGGGATGGGGGGAAGCCCCATATCTTAATGAAGAGGAAATATTTGAGTTCACACTAGTTTGGATTACAGCGTGATTTCACTTTATTCGCTCTTAAGATTCCAAGGAAACAGTTACATTTTGGAGCATTGGCGAGTGAAGTTTGTCTGCTCTTATTTAAAGTCTAGTGTTTGCCCACAACTTTGACAGAAGATAAGAGTGTGTTGTTTCCGCCCGGTAGAGCACCAAGCGTAGGTACTTTACTTTGTTCGTTGCTGCTTGAGCTGTAATTACAATAATCATTATATTGAGTATTCACGGGCAATATTTGTATGTAAACCAACCGCCGTCATCTCACGAATACCAGTTATCGTGTTAGAACTAATTTTGAGTCGTGATCTGTTGGAGACCACGGCAAGTTATTTGTGCCGGAAAAAGGAACTCATGTTATTCGCTTTACGGAACTGAGCATAACTTGAATCGCATTGAACATCGTTTTCAAACTTCGTCTTTTACTAGATTACTTCCATCACTTTATTACAGCAAGTACTTTTATCTATCTTTTAGTTTTAATTTACCAGATCAGTGATCGATGAGGAATCCATAGAAAAGCGGAAAAAATTACCTTTAAAAGTTACTATTTTGGAAATACAAAGCAGGAAAATAATTTATTTATCACAATAGAGAATTACCGAAATCTAAGAAATAATCTAAAATTCAACCAGCCAGAATAACGAATTGGTTAAGAGGTGAAGGAATAAGGCACCCGAAACCGTGTTCCTCGTAGAGCAATGGAGCGCTTTCCATTTGACCAAAATTTTCGAGATTTCCGTTCTGAAATCGATTGGAACGAGAAAAGTTCCAGGATAAGTTTTCGAAAATTTAGGAATACGTTTTAAGCGTACCCTCTTAGATATGGTCGGACGCGTTCCATTCGGCCAGCGAAAATACCGACATTTTGAACCCGTGATTTTTGTTAAATGGAAAGCGCCCCATATTTCTCGGTCATTCAGTACTCGTATTCGCACTTCCGTTTCTCGCACTGTTTTGCGTGTCTCTGGACAATGTGAATGAAAAAAATAAATTCAACTTCAGCAGACGTGACACTAACGGCTTTGCAAAATCTTCATTATTCTGATCATTTGCTTTAATGCAATAAATTGGGATTTGACTTCGAGAAACGTGTCCCACCCAGACAGCCGAGACAATTAAAATGTTACGAAGTGATTTACGTCTAATTTCCGAAATCGCTAATTTGTCGGTGTGTATTTTTTGACACCTAGTTTAGGCTGCCAGTTAAAAAAGATTTTAGCACTTGATTTGCACTCCAGATGTGTTAGTCTATTTAGGTGTGATTGTTTTATTTAATGCAACGTCCCCTTGATGTAAGAAGCTAACAAGGCACAGTTGTTCTGAGAAATGAATGCTGGAATGCCAAGAAAAGAACATCCTAATGCTGCCTTCCATACTCGCTCAGTTAAATCATAGTTATGATTAAATAGACAAGTTGATTGCTCTGATAGTGGAACTCTCCAAGGCAATGCATTGAAGCTTTAATTAACCTCTCAGTTATTGGCATGTTTAGAAACTGCAGCAGCAATTAATGCTTATAAGCCCTTTATCAGAACTTTTAAAATCGTTCTTACAAAATGTAATTGTTTACTAAATTAGAGTGGTTAGTTAGTCATTAGTCATTTTCCAATTTTTTGGTATTTTAGCACGTACATCTGCTAAAAGCACCTAATCAGCTTCATTTAAACCTGAGTAGAAATAAAGTTACTGGTCTTAAGTTAGTAGACATCAACTGAAATGTGAATAATTAATTCATTAATAAGATTAGGAGTTAATTAGGTCAATTTATTTTGAATTCATAATTTTATTTCTTTATGTACTATGCCTTTAGATAAATCTGCTTTTCATTATTTAACAGAGAAGACTCAACAGGTAGAACTGTAAAAAAAATTCTATTTTTATTAGTTGTTAGTATAGTTATTAAGAATTTATTATTAAAAGTCATTTGATAGAGCTACATGCTGTGATTTGATGATTTTACTAGCTAGCAGTTTGAAACAATTATTAAATGGACTTACATGCAAACAACTGAAGTCTCTGTGAGGAGGGGCTCAACAGGCACATGCCAGGGCCTAAGCTACATAATTATCAATTTCTTATTTCTAGAATTTAAGATCAGAATCAGCCCAACTATTATGAAAAAAAAAAACCCTATCATCAACAGCTCTAATGTAGTATCATATTATATTATCATCATCCAAACATGTTTAGTTGTCCGGATTAATGGGAAACTAAGGAAATTTAAATGATTGTCCTTACTGCTGGAACAAAACAGATTTTCCTTTCCACATGCAGCTGATACAAAAAAGTTGATGAATTTCTTGAACAGACACTGAACACACACTGGACTTCAACAGTCAACAAAGTATAGGCTGGCTGTTACAGCACACAAACTAATTTCGCATTAGTCAATCTAGATATGCTGGCACTTTCTTGGTCATCATATTAAATTACCTGACTAATTTATTCAAATTTATTGCTATAACAGCAATAATTACAATGGGTATAATTTCCTTGGATAAACTGTCTTGTCTTTCTCTAATAACTCAGTAGAGTTGTAATCACAGATAGGTTCATATGATTTGAACTGTAATATAGTTATAATTGGACACAGCTTACAATCCAGCAGTTTCACCTGCCATAATCAGACTGATTGTACTACCAATCACAGAATTTATAACAGTAACCAGATCATGAGCTAACCACCTCCCATTTAGCTCAATGGATAGAGCCCTGGACTGTTGTGGGGGAGGTCGAGGGTTCAAGCCCCGGCCGGACCAACACTCAAGGTCTTAAAATGATTGAGAAGAATATGCTACCTTTCTCAAACGTTAACATCAAGAAATGGTTAGATATTCTAGTCTTCTTGGATAGGGACGAATAAATGGAGGTCCCGTCTCCTGCAGGGTTAGGGGCAGGAGACGTTAATTTCCCACGCACGAGATCACTGTGTGATGGATGTCCTCCCCTGGAGTGGGATGGGTGGGAAAATAGCAGGTCCACATCAGCTATATAGGTGCCATAAAAATTCAACTTGCTCAAACAAAAACAAAAAAAAAACAAAAAAAAATGAAATGATGATGTGAACTTTGGGAAACTGAAGGGCAACTGTTGGTTGAGTAACAGTAGATACTATTGTCAATCTGTTGACCTAGTGTCAGTCCATGTATTGGTATACACTCAGTCAGCTGACATCTGTCGCCTCTCCACCAGTGATACTTGCATGATCAATAAGTGGGGGATACTTCAATTTACAGACACTCAGCTGAAGCTTAGCTGATACATTTTGGACACTCATCCGACACTACCATCACTTTACGCAATCTTCATCTTCTAGTTTTCAGCTGTGAAAACAAATGTCTGCATGGTGATCACTAAGCAAACAACTGAAAGGCATTTTGACCTACAGACTGCAGACTAAAATTAACAACACTGTAAAAAGCAAGCTTTGTGCTGAACTAAATAAATGGTTAAAGGCTGATAGTTTCTAAAGAAACTGTGGATCAATTTTACTATAGGTAGTGTCGGCCAACATGGCGACCGACATGCTGACTGACATATCGGTCGACAGTTGGCCGAGAGTCGGTCGACAGGTCAGTCGATAGTCGGTCAATAGTTGGAAGATAGTCGGTCGACATGTCGGTCAATATGTTGACCAACTGTTGACCGACGGATGGAGTGTCGCGTCTCGGTGGAATATCGGTCAAGTGTCGGTGGAATATCAGTCAAGTGTCAGTGGTCTATTGGCTGAGTGTTGGTAGTCTATCGGTCAAGTGTCTGAACTTTATCGGTAAATATAGTCTGAACGTCGCTTGTGTGGTTGTGTATTGTTGCAGTGTCGGTATTGAAAAACTTTATTTGAAGAAAAATTTGATTTGAAGGCATAAACTTTCAGGTATATGGTTAAGTGTCAGTGAAGTATCGGTGAAGCATCGGCCAAGTGTCGGTCAAATTGACTATCGGCTGACATATATTGGTGGACATATCGACCGACTATTTTCTGACTATCGACCGACTGTCGACCGACATGTCAGTCGCCATGTTGGCCGACACTACTTATAGTCACATTGATCCGAAACTGTTAGGGGCTGCGTTGGTGGGGGTAACGAGCTCCGACGAAGGGCTAGTGCTTGAAACGTCAGCTTTTGTAATTGTTATGGTGGCCAATTTACCATTTCAACTTTGTTGATATACCTAAATAAATGGCTCTCATTGCTGAGTCCTGTCTTCTCTGCTTAAATATTAACTTATTTCCTCCAACCAATTAAAAGAAACTTTCCGTGGCCATGTTTGTGCATTTGTGACCCGATCCTACCTGCTGGCAATGTTCATCTATGCCAAAGACTTTTTCCAACTTATTTTTTTTTGTCTTCATTACTTTTTTATGTTCAAAATGAAGTGTGTGAACTGTATCCTTGCTCTATCAAGTTTGGGCATAGGTGACAGAGACTCTTCCTTCACCTCCCGTGTGGGTAAGGGGTAGGGGCTACTAGAGACGACCGCCATAATATTCCAAGAAAAATAGGGGTTAACAATACATGTACCACCGACAGTCCACCAAAACATCACTGACACTTGAATGATATGCTGCAAACTGTTGATTTGCAACATGATGGTCAAGGTGTTGGCCAAGCATTTACAACAGACTAGTCTGACAACATATTGAGCAACAGCGGACACCAATGGTGTACCAACTTGAATAAAATGGCAACCAACAGTTGACTCAGGGACTCTCAGTTGACATGTCAACCAATAGTATCCACCAATACTCAACTGCCACATGCCCCTATTACACATGAATCTAATAACCATAGCATGGCTACCATCCCTACTTGAGGATTTCCAAGATATAGGAATCTATTTCTTGGGCTTTTCAGCATGCTTTTGCAAAATATTTTAAGTGTTTAAAGATTGGATTATTACTACCCCTATTCTATTCATTATGGAACTTAGTTTTCCTTGGAAACTAGTGTTTTTAATTAATTAGTAACGGGACTATGTGATTGCCTGAATTATGATTGACATATCAGACTCCTTCTTTGGGGTTGTCTAATTTATTTAATCCCTTGACAATGTATTATTGCAGACTGAACTTTACCCATTCAACTTAATTAGACTAAGTGTTATTGTGATAACCAAACTTGTAGAGCTAGGAAGAACAGCACTTCCTCCCTCTTAGGGCCTTTATTCTATGCAAAATATACAAATCAAATAACTCCTTCAGAGAAAAAATTCAGCAAACTACCTTCAATGGGTTTAAATTTAGAGGAGCCAGTATTATGGTTATCTATGGGTAGGCCTTTATAAGATAAGATGAGATGAGATAGTGACTTTATTTTAAGAGGGTAGCACATATCAGTTTAAGTACAACTTATGACCCTGTGGCCCTCTATCCCCACTCACCCCACCCCAAGGGAGGACATCCATCACACAGTAATCTCGTGCATGGGAAATTAACGTCTCCTGCCCCTAACCCTACAGGAGACGGGACCTCCATTTATTCGTCCCTATCCGAGAAGACTAGAATATCTAACCATTTCTTGATGTTATAGAAAGGTAGCAAATTCTTCTCAGTTATTTAAAGACTAGAGACCCTGAGTGTTGGCCCGGCCGGGGCTCGAACCCTCGACCTCCCACACAACAATCTAACGCTCTATCCATTGAGCTAACCGGTATATGAGCTAATGGTATATGAATTTTTTTTTCCATCCTTTTGGGCATTACAATATTATCTTGATTACAAGATAATTTTAAGTGGATTTGTCTCCTAGTAGCTTTAAATGGAACTCATAGTCAGTAGTTCATTTGGCCAGAATGTTACAAATATGATTATAACTTTTATTTTATTTTACTATGGTAACTTTGCCAACAAACAAAATAATAGCAAAAGCAACACCTGTTAAAGATAAGAATTATGTACCACAGGTTCTATTTGCATTGATGCCTAGGGCAAATGTTTTAATGATATGTTTCCTTTCTTGTTAATGCCCTTTTTCCTGATAAAAAAAAAACTAAAACTAAACAAGTAAATGACATAGTAGCAACAGAATTACCTCCAAAATTTTTATATCATTATATTTTTGTTTTTCCATAATTTTAATTATTTTTTCAACACTGGAAGAGTAGTTATG